TTGGACTTACCACAGTTCAGACACCTATTAAACACACAAAGAAGGTGTTGAGTAAGCAGTTACATATATATGAGTCTAACGTTCAGGGGTGAGGCCTGGGCTGGAAATATACATTTGGGAATTATAAGCATGTGGACGGTATTTAAAGCCATGAGACTGGATTAGATCAATGAGAGCACGAATACAGAGACCAAGAAAAGAGAAGGGAAAATGAAGCTACCCAAATAGTGGATATCTCAACACAAAAATGAGAACTCAGAGTAAAATACCACCATCTAGGGTAAAACAACTATCATCTTGGATCTCTTTAGCTTAACATTCAAGTCCAGCCTTTGCTCACATTTCCAGCCTTACCTCTGGATGACAACTCCTCTTCCTCTTGCCCACTCTTCTGTCTCCTAAATATTCTCTAATTGGTCATGCTTACCAATTTGCTGACAAAAGTCTTTGAAAAGTTCACCTTAGCCTTCAGGAGCAGCCTGATGATGCTGTCCTGGTAAAGCTACTCCCAGCCCCCTCCATCCCCATCCCAGCCAGAAAGAAACACTCTCCCCCAGGACTCTTCTCAGTAGCCCTTCAAGGACTCTAACACAGAGACTCAGTGAGTTGAACCAGGAGACCACATGCTAAGGGAGGAGACAGTAGACCAGTGGGGACAGGGGACATAACCTTCAAGAGATCTAATTCCCCTCATTATCGTACTAGTAGAGGATCTCTCCCTACCCTAGGCTGAAAACTTGCCCCTACCCCGCACAAATACCATAGGGAGGTGCCTCCTGAACGTCATCTTCACGCTTAAGAGTCCAAGTTTTCTGGAGATGAATTACAGTCTAATTTTCCTCATGTATTAATTTTCACAGAAATAGAAGTTAACTTGTAGAATGCTGATGGTGATGCCCATGTTTCCTGTCCTTAGAGATGCAAATGAATTTTGTCCAAAGAATATAAATCTTTGTAGTCCAATTCTTATTTGACCCTGTTGTAATATCTTTCTGGTTCCATCATTAATTAGTGAGTTAAATAAAATCTGTGACACATGTTTCTTTTCTATGTATATGAAAGTCATCATTTTACCTTTTTTTAAAAAAAGTTGTCTTTTAAAACTATAGGGGAGGAAAAAAATATCTTTTTCCCTCTACTCTCCTAGGTTCTCAGGCTGGGGCACTGTAAGTTAGATTGACAAAGATAGATTAACAAGAGAAAAACAAACAGAAGTTTATTAAGGCATGCATTGTGTACATAACACATGGGAGTACCCAAAGATGAGTAACTCAAAGGGGTAGTTAGGATTTAGGCTTATGTACCTAACTTAGTTGGGGAAAGGGAGAGGGAGAACGGGCACTTATGGGAAAGCAAATGACTTTTTGGAAAGGTAAATGGGCCTTTAGAACAGATGCGAGACATGCTAGTTTGTGACAATGTCTATCTGGGCGTGGTGCCGATTTCTGGTCTCCCAGAAGAGAATATTAGAGTTATTCCAGGAGAGGGAATTTATGACACTTAAAGTCTTCTGGGAGGCTCTGCTTTTAGGCAGATAAGGGATTTCAGGAGCTCATATGCCTTCAGATGAAATTAATTCTTATGCACATGCAAAGTGGCATATTCTGGGGTGGCATGTCCTGGTCCCCAACAACACTTTAACTCATTTCTTGGGCCAGCCCCAGTGGCCTAGTTGTTAAGTTTGGCACGCTCCACTTCAGCAGCCCAGGTTCAGTTCCCAGGCGTGGACCTATACCACTCATCAGTGGCCATGCTGTGGCAGCGGCCCACATATAAAACAGAGAAAGATTGGCAACAGATGTTAGCTTAGGGTGACTCTTCCTCAAGCAAAAAGGAAGACTGGCAACAGATGTAGGCTCAGGGCGAATCTTCCTCAGAAAAAAAAAAAACACAGAAAACTTCATTTCTTTGTACTGTTATCCTCTCTAGCACAGCGCCAAGCACAGAGTATGTTTTCAGTAAATGTTTATTGAATAAAGGACTGCAGAATTGCAAAATAGCCTAGCCAAAGACAATCAAGGGCAAGAAACATAAATAAAATTAGAATGCCCAAAGGATCTCCTGGACAATGCCCAGCATTATAGAAAGGGGACACAGCTACCTATTTGCCCAGTCACAATTTCTCCTCACAAAAATGATGCAAAGAAATGCTATGGACGAGAGGAAAGAGAAGAGACTATTCTTAGTCCAAGTGTCATACAAAGGAAGGTTTCATGAGGAGTTAACATTGATTTTTTTTGTGTGTGTGAGGAAGATCAGCCCTGAGCTAACATCCATGCTAATCCTCCTCTTTTTGCTGAGGAAGACCGGCTCTGAGCTAACATCTATTGCCAATCCTCCTCCTTTTTTCCCGCCCCCCAAAACCCAGCAGATAGTTGTATGTCATAGTTGCGCATCCTTCTAGTTGCTGTATGTGGGACGCGGCCTCCGCATGGCCAGAGAAGCGGTGCGTCGGTGCGCGCCTGGGATCTGAACCCGGGCCGCCAGTAGCGGAGTGTGCACACTTAACCACTAAGCCACGGGCTGGCCCCAACATTGATTTTGGATTGGAAAGAATGAATAGGGATTCTTTTTGTGGCGAGATGGAAAAAAGGGAGTTTCTAAGTGGGAAAATGCAGTGGGCAAAGGCGTATGAGTACAAAGAAAGCACAACCTCTATTAAAGAAAGAGAAACAATGTAATCTGATTGCACCCAGGTATGTAAGGTGGACTAAATAGGAAACGAGATCGGGAAGATAATGCAGAGGTCATTTTGAGAACCCCAGACTGAATCTGGTCATCATTCAGAGGTGATGGGGAGCTATTAAAGGTTTTTGAGCTGGAAAAGAGCTAATGTGAGTTTTACATCAATATTAACTTAGCATTAACTTCCATTATTATGTAGAGTAGATTGGAGAGGACAGCAACATACAGCAGCCATGCACCTGGAAATATAAAACTGGAGCTCAAAAATATGTTGGGGCTAGAGATAAGGATACGAGAATTATCACAATAGTGGTGTTGGTTGAAATGAGGGGGCAAAATTAAATACTGAAAATGTTTTAAGTTATATTATTACTGTATTTTCCTTAATTTTCTTACTTGCTTCTCCCCCATTTTTTTCCCCACAAGACTATGAGGTCCTCAGGGTAGGAATTGTGTCTTATTCCTGCTTGTTTTCCAGTACCTGGCACAGTACCTGGCATGTGAGCTCCATAAATACTTGCTGAAGAAAAAAATATGCAGAGAAAGGAGAAAACACTTTTCTCAGAGAGGTGGTAAGGGCAAACTAGATGATACTGAAGAGTTTTGATATAATGGAGAGAGAACTGATGGACATTTTATTGGATGGCCTCAAATCTTTTCAGGAAAGCATTTGATGAGTTGCAGAGTATCATGTGATTGAGGATAGGGTTAAGGGCTTAAGCAGAGTGAAACAATTTGGAACAGCTGCAGCCAGAAATGTGCTCAGGAGACTCCCATATGCTTGCATGCCTTTTTTTAGAGCCATTCTGTGCATCTGGAATGCTCCCTCCAGCCCTCTTCTCCCTGCCTCTATCATCTTAGTCTACTCATCTGTCAAAGCCTAACTCAAATGCCACTAACTTTTCTGGGACATTTTCTCTGATACTATTTCAAGTTAATCATTCCTGTTTCTATGTTTATACTTCTCTCCTTGTTAATCCCATTAGATTATAAATTACTTGAAGACAAGAAAAGGGTCTTACCCATCTGAATAGCCTCCTCCTGACCCAATGGGAAGCAGTCATTCCATAAATGTTTGCTGACATTTAAATCAAATGAGTTTAAGATATGATTGTTAAGTGGCAGGGAGGACAAAACTGGAGTTATATAGCTTGAAGCCATGGTGGACTAGATTAGCATGGTTTTCATGACTAACAGGAGTGAGACAATGGACTAAGAGACGTGAGACAAAGAGTGAGATAACAGACTAAAAGAACCAGAGAAAGGTTCAAGAACAGAGGTTGTGGTGCAGGCTGATGAAAATTCAGTAAAAATTAAGATTTTTTTTTCCATTGGGGAAATCTAAACATTAGTCTCCCTACCCGGGAAAACAAAGATCTGAAGCTCACGTGTATTTTATGAAAGCAAAAGGCAGTTTCCTCTTACTAATCCGCAGGGAAGCCAAAAAAGAAGGAAAGCCAAACAATAAAGTCCTCAGTATCAGACTTGAATTTTAAGTATTAACTTCTACTATTTAACTCCTCCAATCCCTTCAGCTGGACTCTAAACTTTTTAAGAACAAAACAAATTGATTTTTTAGTTTCACTTTTTCTCCTTCATTTCCAGACTTTCTGGAAGAGCAGTTAATGAGCAGTGAAATGAATGTAGGTGGGAAAAGGAAGCAGGAGAGAGATAACTGTGGTATACAGAACAATGAACTAGATGGCTTTAGACAGATATGTTCAAATCCTGGTTCTGCTACCTGTCTGTGTAATGGGGATAATGACTACTTGGAAAAACTGTGTGAGAAACAAACGAGATGTAAAAGCAAGCACCTAGCACAAGGAGTGTAGTGTACTTTAAACAGATCACATGCAAGTGGTAGAAAATGCAAAAGTTAGAAAGGGTATGCGGGGGAAAGGTGAGTCTCCTCCCCATCCTTATCCTCTATTCTCTCAATTCTCCTCAGAGTTAACTCATGATACCATTATGTGCATTTATTGTGCGTTTCCTTCTTTCCTTGACTTAGCTGTGTGACCTTGAGCATGTAACTCAAACTTAAAATTCCTTACCTATAAAATGGAATGGTTCTGAGCATTTAATGAAATAATTACTACTTTATAATTAAAATGCTACAATTTCTAGAAGGAGAAGCAAGGCCTAGACAAACATATTGTACTTGTAACTTTATTTAGAACAGAGGTCTCTTAGACCCTTAGGATCAGCCCCAGGCTTGACTACTTTGTTCCATTAGTATTCCTTAACTCATCTTGACATCAGCAGGAGAGGAAGGCTGAGAGCCACACTGCTTGACCCTGCCTTGGTCTGTCCCATAGGTGATCACTTACTCCAGCCGTCATGTCTACAATAACTTTTCTGAGGAACACAAGGGCCGAGTGGCCTTTGCTTCCAATTTCCTGGCAGGAGATGCTTCCCTGCAGATTGAGCCTCTGAAGCCCAGTGATGAGGGCCGATACACCTGCAAAGTGAAGAATTCAGGGCGCTATGTGTGGAGCTACGTCATCTTAAAAGTCTTAGGTAAGATGGAATGCCATGGTAAATGCCTATATCTTATTAATAAGATCTCTGCAAGGGATAGCCAAATGCATCATGGTGGTACAAAACTTCCTGTTCAATACTTTGCATCACATATTCAGATGTCACCTAGTCCAGTTCCCTGGTAAGAAGTGTATATGTTCTGTATTTTAGCCATAATGAAAGAAGAAAAAATAATTACAATTTTCCATGGTAACCTATTACAAAATTTAAATATCCTCTAATATTTAAATGGTATCCTTGTATTTAACTTAAATCTCTCAGATATGATTCAAATCCATTTGTTTTTTGACAGCAAGAGCTACTAAGCTCTACTTAATTGCTTCCAAGTAAATGAACTTCTATCCCTGTTTCAGTATTAGTAAAACCACCTTCAACTTTCCTAAAATTTCCAATTAAAAAAGTGTCTGTTCTTTGGGAAGTGATGAGGGGGTTTCTGAGGCAGCCCCTGAAAATTACAACAGCACCACTGGAAGCAGCTGGAATTGGGTGTGTATGTGTGCAGGGGATGGAGGTGGGTGTGTTTCTGTGGGTGATGTAAAGCATGGCTAGGTAGCAAAAGGCTACTGAATCCCAACAAGTTGACCATAAGGGATGGCTGGAGAAACAATTTAACAGGACATAGTTCTTCCATGGAATTTAGTGTTTGGGATCTTTGAATATTTCTTTGTTTTTTTTTGCCAGTGAGACCATCAAAGCCCAAGTGTGAAATGGAAGGAGAGCTGACGGAAGGAAGTGACCTGACTTTGCAGTGTGAGTCATCCTCTGGCACAAAGCCCATTGTATATTACTGGCAGCGAATCCCAGAGAAGGAGGGAGAGGATGAACATCTGCCTCCCAAATCTAGGATTGGTAAGTCATCTTTCTACCAGTCTATTGAGACAAGAGGACAGTACTCTATCTATGAATTCTAAATTTGGTTTTGTCACCAACTCACCAGGTGACCTTGAATACACTGCTGAACTTCTTTGAACTCCCATTTTTCATGTGTCAACTGGGACAGAAAAATCTATCTTTTCTTTCCTCAAATGGCACTCAAAGGTGGTAAAAGAGATTAGGAAGAAATGTATTATATAAATCCATTGTTATCTAATTATCATGTTTGGTATCCCTTAAATGTTCACAATATTTTGTAATTTTTGAGGATACACTACAATTTAAAAGAATGTTCACCTTTCTTCCCACATTCCAAAAAGGGATCTATTCTATCATCTCATCCTTACCAAATTTTATGAGAGAATCTTAAGTCAATGATGCAATAAAGTAAACAATATAGACCATGTCACTAAGAGGACTACAGTCATTCTTTCTGCTTGTGTAGACTACAACAACCCTGGACGCGTTCTGCTGCAGAATCTCACTATGTCCTCCTCTGGACTCTACCAGTGCACAGCAGGCAATGAGGCTGGGAAGGAAAGCTGTGTGGTGCGAGTGACCGTACAGTGTAAGTACCCAAAAGGTTTGTTTTGTTTTTGCATTGTGGTTCAGTGTAAAACATTTTTAATCACGAGTTAGTGCAAGGTCAAGGTCAAAATCTTTATTTCCAGAAGGACATGACTATCACTAAAATAAATTCAGTAGTTGCAAGGACCATTCAACAGTTGTAGCTAACTCTATATTTACATATATGTGTGAATCTACCAGTCCCCTAAAGAAATTTATTACATCCAGGAAGGGACCAAATGGAGATTTCCTTTATAAATGTAAATTTCCCTTACAAAAGGGTTACTTCCACTGTTTTCAGAACTACTTCTGTGTCTGTTTTTCAAAAATACTCAGCTTAGTGGTATATATACACAATGGAATACTACTCAGCCATAAGAAACGACGAAATCCAGCCATTTGTGACAACATGGATGGACATTGAGGGTATAATGCAAAGTGAAATAAGTCAGAGGGAGAAGGTCAAATACCGTATGATTTCCTTCATTAAGTAGTAGATAATAACAACAATAAACAAACACATAGGGACAGAGATTGGATTGGTGGTTACCAGAGGGGAAGGGGGGAGGGAGGAGGGTGAAAGGGATAATTCGGTACATGTGTGTGGTGATGGGTTGTAATTAGTATTTTGGTGGTGAACATGATGTAGTCCATGCAGAAATAGAAGTACAATGATGTACACCTGAAATTTTTACAATGTTATAAACCAATGTTACTGCAATAAACAAAAAATTAAAAAAAAAAAAAAAAAAAAAAATACTCAGCTTAAAATAATCCTAATAGCAAAGAGGCATATTTTGAGGTGGCATATTCTGTTACTTTTCAAAATCAAGATGGATAATCATATACCAAGAGAGGGTAAACAGAGAACTCAGGAAGCTAGATATAAACACCTGGAAAAATACTCATCCTGTCCAGGGCTTATGTTTTTTAAGTTCATGTATTTCCTAGCTTATGTTTGGTTTTACTTCTGCTTTTGTTTCTGAGAAAATAGATGTACAAAGTATCGGCATGGTTGCAGGAGCAGTAACAGGCATGGTGGCTGGGGCCCTGCTGATTTTCCTCTTGGTGTGGCTGCTAATCCGAAAGAAAGACAAAGAAAGATATGAGGAAGAAGACAGACCTAATGAAATTCGGTAAAAACCTCCCTCCAAAATCCCCTCTTCTACTAGGCTTCCTTTCTAGGGCCAGCTCCATAATGACCAGCCAACATAAATGTCCTGTTTCCTCTTAACCATCAATCTGTTAAAAGGATTATTCTGGGGCCAGCCCGGTGGCATAGTGGTTAAGTTTGTGTGCTCTGCTTCGGCAGCCCAGGGTTTGCAGGTTTGGATCCCAGGTGTGGGACCTATGCACTGCTCATCAAGCCATGCTGTGGCGGCGTCCCACATACAAAAGAGAGGAAGAGGGGCACAGATGTTAGCTCAGGGCTAATCTTCCTCAGCAAAAAGAGGAAGATTGACAATGGATACCAAAAAAAAAAAGAGAAAAAAAGGATTATTCTGGTAGGTAAGGAGTTCCAGCCTAGGGACAGAAGGTCTGGTTTACCTTGATTTCATTGTGAAACTGTCTATCCTCACAGAGACTTAAAAGATCAACTTTACAGTACTTCTGATTCACTTGCGCTTATAAAGTACATACAATAAAGACTGGGCATAGCCTATGGGCCACAAAAGGGTTTCCGTAGACAAACCCCAAATCAAGGAGAGTGCTGTCTAGACCATCTCAATGGTGAGTTGGTATTCTCCCAGAGTAACAGGGTTGTCCTCTGGGCTAAGAAAACATACATGGCCTAAGCCAACCATTAAGTCTCAAGAAATGGGAAAGTCCCTATTTCCCTAAATGGCTGCCTTCCAATAGTATTATCTGAGGTTTTACAGCTTGAGGAATTTATTAGGAAACCTCAGAAGGAAGCAGCCATAGTGGAAGCAATACAGTCCTGCCAGTATTAAAATTTATCTTTGCTATTTTTTCTCCTCAGAGAAGATGCCGAAGCCCCGAAAGCTCGCCTCGTGAAGCCTAGTTCCTCTTCCTCAGGCTCTCGGAGCTCACGCTCCGGTTCTTCTTCCACTCGCTCCACAGCAAATAGTGCCTCACGCAGCCAGCGGACATTGTCAACTGAAGCAGCACCCCAGCCAGGGCTGGCCACCCATGCATACAGCCTAGTGAGGCCAGAGGTGAGAGGTTTGGAACCAAAGAAAGTCCACCATGCTACTCTGACCAAAGCAGAAACCACACCCAGCATGATTCCCAACCAGAGCAGAGCCTTCCAAACTGTCTGAATTAGAGTGGACTTGACTCTCATGCTTTCCTAGGAGTCAGGATCTTAGGACTCTTCTAGTGATTGAAGCGCAGTCACCAGGCACACAACCCCCTCAAACCAGATGAGAGGTCATTTAAGTAGCAGTGAGCATTGCATGGAACAGATTCAAATGAGCACTTTCCTTATATGACACGAAACAAGGAAAAGGATGTAAGCCGATCATCTCCAAAAAGGTATCACATCATGCCTTTAGAGTAGAGTGGGGGAAAGCAGAAGTCCAAATCTGTGCATTTGTTGACCAAGACCTGTGGTGAGAAAGGCCGGGGAAAGGGGAAGTGAACATACTTAAAACTTCTCACCTGAGATGTTTTGTATCAATACTTCGATTCACCATTGTCAAGAACAAATAAGGTGTTGTTCATAAATTTTCTATGCATTTCTGCAAACCTACTGGATTACTGTGATTATTCAGAGTCAAGGAGAACCCACAGCCTCATATTACACCTATCTGCACCACGTACTGGGCTTACCGCTTCTGAGAAACTCCCAAAAGGAGACATATCTCTTCTATTCTGACTTGACTTCATTTACCATAAGGTTTGAATATTAATTTCAACAGAAGTTGAAATACTGGGAGATGGAGAAGAATGATTTTCTCCCACTCTATCCACTACTAATCTTCCTACTTACACTGAACCATAAAAGAACTAAAAAAGGAATCCAAAATGTGTGACAAGGGACTGTGAAAAACTTTCCATCTTAATGATGTTCAGAGGTTCACTAACAAATATCAGAAATATATACTGGAATAATTGTGGATTTTCCCTCAAATCAGATGTCTCTAAGGACTTTCCTGCTGGGTATCTCTGGAGCAAGAAAACATTCACTACATGTCATTTAACAATGTCCTTAGAAAGAAGTCTTCTAGAGGAAAAGAGATCTTTTAAAGATGCTGAAAGATCATCTGACATACCATTATATTCTCTTCTTTCTGAGAACATATGAAATCAGAATTTCAAGACTGACTAGACTAAAAGGGGAGATTAGATCAGTTTTCTCTTAATATGTCAATGAGTGGTATAAGGAAGTTTAGTATTGCACAAATTTGGAGCTTCCCCCATTTTTTTCATCGTAGAAGGATGTAAACCCGGCACTTTTGATGATTCTAGGCCTTAAATTATCAAAAAGATCAGGACTGCCAACGTTTCCTAATGGCATCATATGTCATAATCATACCCACCTGAGAGGGTGAGGCATGGAGAAATTTGGTATTTTCCCAGCTTAGCCTCTAAGGCAGCCTAGCTCTGGGCTGGAAGGAAAGGGAATTAACACTTAGGGAAGAGATGGTGAGGATAACTAGTGGGTGGCTGAAGAGGGCTGGGTTAATGCCTGCTAGCATTTTAATTATCTGCACCTTGGAAAGAATCAGCAGAAATGATTCACCAGGATAGCTCTCGGAAGAGGTGATTCACGGGAGAAGAAAGGTGTCTGAGAAATAAAAAGAAAATAGCAGCCTCCAATAACTTGCCTTCTTAATAGTTTTGACTACTGTGCTAGTCAAATGCATCCTATGGCAAGAATGCTAAACCTGAAATAACCCTTCAAGGACCCTAGTGCAAATGTCAACAGACCACCACTGGGAGAGCAAAATACTTATTATTATTAAAGGGGCAGCAGGCTATAGGAAAGAAAAAGTAATGCTGAATATGATGATGAAAGCATTGTTTCTAAAATAGAAATCAGATGCTTAAAGGGAAATGGCTGATCTGGGATTTTGCCCCATTTCTCTAGTTTTCCATTTCTACATTTAATTCTCACAATACTGCCCTCAATAGTGCAAATGCATTTCCTTCTAAAAGTCCTTTAAGAAACAGAGATTTATCCTTGGGTGAAAGTTTTCATCTGAGTTTTGTCTTCCTCTAAAAAAAAAGGTGGAAAATAAGCAACATTAAGGAAGTAATGTTAGTTCAATTTAAGAGAGCTGGCATATTTGGAATGCTTCTTATACTAACTGCCTCATCATACGATATAAAACCCCTTACTCACTCTAGTTTTTTATTCCTCTGATAGTGTGGTATCCAGGCAACGTATCACTTCTATGTAATTCTGAGAATTCTCATTCCTAGAGTACCTGAGCCAAACAAGTACACTATGGAGGCTGCAGCTGTCCCGTCACTAGCAATTTGCTCTTACCATTCTTTACTACCATTGAATCTAAGCTTTCCTGCCTATGCTTTGCAAGCAGGAAACAGTTCACTTTGCATGAAAAGGAGGTTTAGATATTTAAACATGTTAGTTATTAGAAAACTAAAATACCAGTTGAATATCCAGATTATTTAGAAATCTATTCACATTGGAAATCTACAAAAAAGTCACAAAACAGATTACTACCTAAAATCTGAGAAATTCTAGGAATTGAAGATCTGAGGTGCTAAAGTCTTAGCAATGAGAGCGCACTTCTCTTTGAGTCAGGCTTTCGGGTTCAGATATGACAGGTTCAGGGCTCAAGATAAAGTTTGAGCCACCAATGGTTTCAAATCATATTCCATTAACTTGCAAATCAAATAAGTTTGATTCTTTAATATGAAACAAACAAAAGGGATAAGATAACTAAATGATGGAAGAAAAAATGTTTATAGGAAGAAAATACAGATGGAATGATGTGGATGTTTAGAGAATAACCATTTCAATAAAATATATAAACCAAACTTAAAATTGTAAAATAATGAAGTTGATGCCTTTCTTGTTACACTGTATAAAAATAATTTCAGAATTGCTGTTGCAAAAAGACCTAATTTTGCTTCATTTCTGGTGTTAAGCTGTTTATATTTCAATTTTAACTTCTAAGTTGCCTTGTAATTGGGACTGTTTGATCACAAAAACCAAATATTTATTAAAGATGCATCTGTATCAGCAATTAAAAAATAAGTAAAGGTGATACTGTAGGAGAGGCTGAAGCTCATATAACCTGCACCGGACATTGGTTTATTAGCTTGCTGCCAAGTGAAGAACACAACTCAGACTGAGTATAATCTATTATTTATTGATTTCAGTCACAAATATACCAAGTACTTTTTTCTCACAAGGCAAGATGCTAAGTAGCATTGGAGATAGCAAATGATGATCTAGTTCATGATAGAGTTCCTGCCCTTAAGGACTTGATCAAAATAACAATATTGACTAAGCAAGTATTGCATGCCAAGATGAAGTAGCAACAGAAAAGTAAACACTAAGAGATGCAAATAAATCCCAAATAAACACTTCACAGAATTAAATGGGGTAATTTATGCAAAGTACTTAAGTACTTAGGACAGTGCTTGGCATGTGACAAGCACTAAAAAATGTTACTCATGACCCTATTCCCCAGAAACTCTAAGCCTCAGACTCCTCCACTGCAGTCCCATGCACCCAGACTTTAATTTTTCATCCTGAATGTGTTTGAAACCCTGTTCATTTAAAGAGGTGGAGACAGGATATTCATCCCATTCTGAACTTCAAACATATAAACTCTGACTCATTCTATTTAATAAGAGCACAGTCTGAGTCCTAGAACACACTTTGAGAGTGAACAGAAACAGAAGTTGCCTGTTCTTTCTTTAATCACTATTAGGTGGGATACCCCAAACCTGTGGATTGGGGCCCCAGTTCTATTTTCCACTGGTTCAATGGTTAAAATGTTGTAGGTAGTTCAAAGGTTAGTTACAAAAGCTGCAAAATGTAGGGTGATTGTATTTGATAAGTTGAATGGGAAAAGATTTTCCAGATACGAAGGAAAATTGAAAGGAGCCTCCCACAGTACACTTTTCTCTTCCTGAAGTTGAAGTTACATGTTTCTAGAAAGGAAATTACACTATAGTGTAACTAATAAAAAAGACCAAAAAATCTGGAATCAAAAGAGCTAGGTTCGACTGCAGTTCAGCCAGCTGTTTATCTTCCCACAAATTACGTCTCCGAACCTCATTTTTCCCCTAACCCAGAGATGAACGAGGTATATCTCAGAGAATTGTTCTGATGGTTAAATGAGATAACACATGAAAGCACTATACGTCGTAAAGGTATCAGATAAAATTAACCTCTTGGGAGGTGGGGAGAAGTATATAGCCCCATGGACTCAAGCCAACATTTCCCACCAAAACGCAAATATAGAAAGAAAATTCTTTATGTTTGAATCTCTCTCCAGGCTCTACTGGCTTTGACAAGGAAAAGGTGTCCTCACTTTTCTGACAGGCTTTTCCGCAGTCTGGAGACGTTTCTAATTCCAGCCACCCCACTAAAAGTTCACCTATCTGTGCCCACTTATCTATTAAATACGAATATTAGCTGCCCTGCCTGTTTGAAAGAACGCATTCAAGGTACTGAGAAAGGCTCTTAGAATGACAAGGCGCCAAATACCTGCCACCATGCAATTTAAAATTCTAGGTACCACTCTTTTGTGCAGTTGTTCAGTAACGTTTTCAAAGCGTCTCTGCATGGGGTCTCGTTTAGTTCTTGATAATAAGTCAAGACAGGAAAGATACGACCTCATGTTACTGAAAATAAAGGAGACTCAGGAAGTGTGAATCAAGGACACGGGCTACCGGAACCGAGGTTTCTAACGCCCGGTCCACGTACAAAGGAAAAGCCCGCTCCCGTTTTCCCTTTTACAAATAAGTGAGAGGCGCGGGGAGGACGGGTGGGCCAAGAAGCCGAATCTGTTGTCGGCGGGCGGGTGCCTCCCGGGCTCAGGGAGGCGAGTGTGGCCATTTATTTCGCTGAGGGTCCAGACACAACATCAGGCCCTGGGGGTTGAGAGGTCGGACCCTCAAACCTCCGCGTCGGGGGCTGCCGGCCTCCAGCTGCCACAGGGAACTGAGGGTTCCGGGGATCTGCCCGGCTAACGTGTCTCACCCAGCGGCGGCCGGGCGCCCCCGGGCAAGTTCCCCTAGCTAGCAGCGCCCTGGGGTCGGAACTTTTCGCCCCAGCCCCTCGGTGCCACCCCTCACCCAAAGTCAGGCTAACTACGAAATGAGGGCACGTGGACCCTGGCAGGGCCTAGAGGCCTGTCTACAATGCCGGGTGGCAGTTGGGGGGAGGAGAATGAGGACCCGGGTGGGGGAGGGGCGCAACAACCTTCGAGGCCATTTTGTCCTCGCTCCACTTCCGTCTTCTCTCCCGGGCTGCCGGCTCCGGACCCCGCCCTTCAGGCTCTGCGCTCTTCCTCCCCCGGTTCCCCACCGAGCCAGAGCGTGACTAGAGCTGCTGTCATTGGCCGGTTACAAGTTCGCCCGCCCCTCTTCCTCCACCTCCTTCCGTCCCCTCCCGCCTGCGCGCTCTGGGCGGCGCATGCGCAGAGGCGGAAGCTCCCGACCCCCGCCGGGGGTGACTGAGGACTCCCGCGCGCGGGCTCTCTCGGCCCCACCCTCCCTTTCCCGAGAGCTGTTCGGAGAGCGGGGGCGAGAATGAAAGTTCCAGAACGCTGCGGTGAGTGCGTCATCGCGAGGCGGGGCGGGATGGGGCGGGAGGGGGCGAGGCCGGAGGGGTAGAGCCGGTTAGTCATTGGGGCTTGGAGAGGTAGCCGCACGCCCATTGGCTGAGGAAGCCATGACGGGCAGCCGGCAGGGGCGGGCCCTTTCTGGAAGGTTCTGAGGCAGTGTATAAGAGACCGGGTGGCGGGCGAAATCCGGTCTCATTGAACTGGGCGGTAGCTTTCTAGATTGCTGATTTCTTCGTAACTTGAGCTGAGCCTACGCTGAAGGTAAGGCCTGTACTCTTGTAAGACGTGTTGGTGTGTCAGAGAAGCGTGCAGCCCGGGCCCGGGAGCGCGGACTTGCTGTGGCCTGGAGGTTCCTGAGCGTTGCATGTGGGCAGCGTGCAGGGAGCCTTCTGCCTGGATGTGAGCTCTATTCCAGGCGGGCGGCGGCGGCGGCCCTGGGCTGCAGTCGGGGCGGAAGGGCAGGGCGTGGAGGGCAGGCAGGGCGGCGCCCGCGGGAGGGTGAGGGGCCGCGTCCTCTGTCGGGGCCCGGGAAGTGAAGCTAGCGCCTTGGAGCTGTCCGTTTCTGGGCTCGCTGTTTAGGCTGGCCTTTCTTAAAGAAGGAAACCATTATTGGCACGCGCCCAGGTTGGGGGAGGGGGCTTCCGAGCGCTTCGAGGCAGGCGTCTCGTTGCTCCTGGAGCGCAGGGTGTGGGGGAGTGGGAGGGATAAGGTTCGGGTCCGAGCTCGATACCACGTGCTCCGGAATGTCGCAGACCTCCGGGCAGGTGCGTGCTTCAGCCAGGGGCGGGCTCGGCTGCGGCTGGCACGGCAACTTCGCTGCAGCATTGCTTATTCTGACCCTGCCGCGTGGTTATCTCAGACAATGGCGGTGTTTTTGGGGGAACTGCCAAATACAATTTCCTTTGCCGCAGTCGTACCTGATGTCTTGGGCTAAACGTTTCTAGTGCTTAAAATCGGTTTTTCAAACCCATGGGATTCTTTTTATTTCAGCAACCATGTCTAAGGGACCTGCAGTTGGCATTGATCTTGGCACCACCTACTCTTGTGTGGGTGTTTTCCAGCACGGAAAAGTGGAAATAATAGCCAATGATCAAGGAAACCGAACCACCCCAAGCTATGTCGCCTTTACTGACACCGAACGATTGATCGGTGACGCTGCAAAGAACCAAGTTGCAATGAACCCCACCAACACAGTTTTTGGTAAGCCTCTAACTTTAAATAATACAGCTTACATTTAAGGAGTTTAGGCAGCGTGTAACTTGAGAAACTTGGAGAAGTTTGTCAAAGATGAGGCAGCCATGAAAGCCCTGCGAACAGGAAAAGCTATTTTTAAAGAGCTCTGATTTTCTTGGAATTGTTTGGGCTAAAAAGTCTGAGGTGTCTTCCTATCAGGGAGAAAATTCGGATGAGCTTTTGGCTCTACAAGAATTGAATCCATTTACTGCTGTGGACTTTGGGTGGGCATGTGGTTTTTGTTCTTGAGTAATCTT